ACCACTGCAGAAGCCTCCACAGCACCCAATAGAGACATGGAACACACTAGAACAGGCCTAGAACCACCGCCTGTAGCCTCCACAGTGCCAAGTATAGATGCAGAACATTCTACAACAGGCCTTAGAACCGCTGCCTGCAGCCTCCACAGCACCAAGTGGAAGCAAGGAATGTTCTAGAACAGGCCTTGGAACCACTGCCTGCAGCCTCCACAGCACCAACCGAAGACAAGGAACATTCCAGAACAGGCACAGAACCACTATCTGTAGCCTCTACAGCACCAGCAGAGCCGAGACACTGATCCTGATGAAAAAGACTGGGTGCTCTGTGTGGTTCTGAACCAGCCTCTCCTGAGTAAAGGATGTTCCTGGGATGCAAGGTGGCAGTAACGCACTGATGGGCATACTGCGGCAAACACCGTGACTCACAGAAAGTACACTCGAGTGTTTGAGGCTGATGGGCCCCGGGTCCCCAGCTTACTTGGAAATGATTCTGGATAATAAGTCTTTGGCTCTAAACCTGCAGCTTTCTTAACGTCTGAGGTTGTGAAACGCCTGCTGGCCAGGAAGAGGCCCGCTCACCCGCAGCCTCCCCGGGCCCCCACGTGGCCGCCCTACCTTGCCCCCAGGCAGGAAGCGGTTGATCCTGTCTCGCGCCTCATCAGCTGCATGCTCCACCAGCGCCAGCACGTGCTCCTCTGCGGTGCTGTCTGTCAGGCTGCAGGCATTCCCCTCGGGCTCAAACACGCAGCTGCGGGCAGAGGGCGGGGTCATGCCCGGCCTGCCCCCCAGACTGCAGCCGGCCCCCTCAGAGACGGCGACGAAAATGCCTCAGTCAGGTTCAGAACCCCAAAAGGACAGGAGCCTCGCTGGGAACACAGTGACAAAGGCCCTGCCTCGGCAGGAACGCTCTCACAGGGGAGCTGGCAGTGGTGGAGTCAAGGGCAGAGAGCGTGTGGGCGGGCGGGAGGCGTTACTTCCCTCAAGGGTTCAAGCTGGTGGGCTGTCCCCTCATAAATTTGATGGCTGAGGGGCCGTGGCCCCTGTGGGGGGTCTGCACAGGGACCCACCCCACTTGTCCCGTGCGTGCTGACACTCGTGTCACTAGCCCCAGTGACCGGCAACAGCAGCAGCTACACTCTGAAAGTCCAGCTGAGGGCGTCCGTGTTTCACCAGGGCCAGCGCTCGGGGCCCTACCATTTGAGCAGCTGGGTTGGCCCCAGACAGCAGAGAGGACAGGGAGCTCAGCACCGGGCCCAGTCATGGTTTGCTGTGGTAAACACCAACACTAAAGCCCAGTGGGCACTGCTGACCAGACCGTAGTCTCAGATTCCAGCAACACACAGAAAGCTTCCCTCAGAGTCCCCAGCCCCATGAAGCGGGGACTAGTGTCAGGCCCTACACTGCTCCGGAAATGCCAGTGTGTGTCTCCTCTCGGGGCACGAGCCAGCCCGGCGGAGTGCTGCTCATGCAGGCGGACACCGTGGAGGCAGCACCCTCGATGCCAGAGCTCATATAGGGCTCTGCCGGCCACTCAGCTCCAGCAAACTGCTAATGACCCCAGAAGTCGTATGATCTGAGGGGCTGGTCTTGGGGTTGGTCACGCGGTCACCACCAACAGGAAGGCACAGTGGTGTGGGCCGGACCAAGCCCCCCAGGTGG